CAAACATGGGGTGATAGGCAAACATTTGGCCTTTTTCTTTGCAACAAATCTAGAGTATTGATTTTTTGGATAACCACCTCCCAACAAAAAGCCTGAACTTTTGGGGGTATAGGCTGACACCAATTCTCCTTCGAAGGAAAGCACCTTACAAGGTTTGATGATTGAATAAGGATATCAAAAAAGGAAGAGCAAGTGAACACACCAGAAGGGGAAGGTTTCCAAATTTTACTACCCACACAAGATTGATCCAGGTAAGTTGACCCTAGAAGTTTAATTAATTCATCCACCATTGTCATTTCTAACTCCCTTAGGCCTCTCCTCAAACACAAGTCCCAAGAGTTAAAGACCGAAGTGATCACTTTTCTTTTATTTCCAGAGAGTGAATAAATAAAAGGGAACCTTTCATTAAGGGGAGTGTCTCCAACCCAAGCATCTTCCCAAAATAAGACCTTATTTCCTGAACAAGCATCAAATTTGACATAAGAAATGAAGGTAAAATACCATGAATAGCTTTCCAAGGAGAGCACCGGGAAACCCCTGGGTTGACTCTTGCATCCCAACCATTGTCTGCCAATCCATGAATGCTTAACAAATGCTAATGACCCTAATTCGTATAGAGATGGGGCCTTGTTTTGGGAGTTGTCTACTGTTAGAGGACTTTGGGAAGGGCCACAGTGTGTGTGTGTGTGTGTGTGTGTGTGCGCGTGTGGTGATTTCGATGTTATTAGATTATTGGGGAAAACAAATAACCCAAACCAAGGAATCACTACTATCATGAGGAAATTTAATGGTTTAGTTGACTCCTTTGAATTGAGAAAACTCCTATTGCAAGCGGATTTTACATGGTCAAATTTTCAATTCCCCCAACTTGCTCCAAACTAGATGGTAGGGATGTTCACGGGTCAGTTCAGTTCAGTTTCAAGCTGTTTGGCCAATTGAACCGACTTGGTCAAGCTAGGAAATTGGCCACCCAAAACCGGCCAACCACTAGTGGAAATTGACCCTACTATAAAGAATCAGTTTGGGTTGGTTTATTGGTTTGGTCGATCAGTTCAAAAGATAGACCAAAGGTGATTTTCACTATGTTTTCAATAGATAAAAACCATATATTGAATGGTTCAGTGTGAAGGAAGTAAGGTTTTCACAAGTAACAACAAATATTAAAGGGAATTATGAAAACCATTTGTTGTATATGATTGTAGAAAGGTGAGGACTGACAAAGATGAAGATCGACGAAGGTATTTGAGGATCATTCAAGGCCAGAAAGTAAGTTCATCTAGTGGAGAAAATGCAGTAAAGTTGGAACTTCCCTATCAGAGGAGGCAGTGATGCAGTAGGGCTGGAACAAACTATCAGAAGACAGAAATGATGAAGAGAGAAAGAGAGAGAGAGTAGAAAGGGTATAGAAAGAGAAAAGAGAGGGAAATCCCAAGGAATCACTGCAAGGGGTCCTAGAATCACTCTAGGGTTTTGTAGGAATCACTCCATACAGAAAACTTGCTCTAAAGAAATCTTCATTCATTCATTAGCTTCTAAAGGAAGAGAATACATCTATTTATAGAGTGACTTGTGTGGCCCGGAATACTGTTCATCATAATTACAAAAATGCCCCTCTTTGTCTTGTGCATCAAGAAACACAATAGCTTCCTATCAATTAATGCAAATAAACTGAAAATTGAAAGACAAGCACTACTAAGCTAGAGGAACAAGATGTTATAGCCCAAGCCCACATGGAACTAGTCAAAATGACGAAAATACCCATACTGTCCAAATATACAGAAATATAGAAAATTTCAGAAAATTCCAAATTTGATTCCTCAGCTCCTGCATTAGGCAAAAGGTAGGGGTGAGTTAGTGGTATAACAAACAAAAAGGGCCCAGGTCTAAGAAACAATCTCTCGTTCAGAACTGTGGTTGTAATTGGAGTTTGGTCGGGATTTGGGGAAACTCGTTTGGGTAGGGAGGGTGATCAGGTATACCTGGAAACGGAGAATAAAGGAGTAGCAAGGAAAAAAATTTTGAAGAGGTGCCTAGTTGGTTGTTCCGGTAGGAGGTTGAAGATGGAAGATTTAGAGTTTTGGGCAGCCAAAAGTTGGGGTGTAGTAGCAGGGGCCTATTCATCTTGATGTTGTGCAATAGTCCATGGAGGCAAACTGGAACAACCAAATCCCGTTCCAGGTACCTATTCATCTCCAATTAAAAAGCTAATTGGCGATAGGTACCTATTCATCTTCCCATCAAAAGTGGAGGCAGACTGGGTGTTGCGCTATACTCCGTGGAGGTTTAGGCAAGCTCGACTTGCAACCAACTGGTGGTTTGAGACAGTGGGCTGTGAGATGGTGCAGAAGAAAGAAAGCTTTCATTATCCAATAGATCTGTGAATTAAAGTGTTCGGTCTACCACTATCACTCAGGTGCCCGAGTGTTATTGAGGGAATAGGGAGCATCGGGGATTTCTAGGAACGGATGACTCAGCTGAGGAATTGAAAACTTGCAAGTGGGTTCGTATTAAAGTAAGAATGGGTGGTGAGATCCCAAAGAAAAGATTAAGATCAAGGCAGGTGACTCTACCTTCTAGATCTGGATCTGGCAAGAGCAATATGACAAGGAACAGATTGAGAAGGATGTTACCCAAAGAATTAGAAAGGATAGGATGGGCAAAATGGAGGGGTGTACTAGATTTTTACGTGATAGGCGAATACCACTAAGATTAAAAGGAAAATTCTATAAAATAGTTGTAAGGCCAGCTATGTTGTATAGAGCAAAGTGTTGGGCAGTCAAGAAACATCTCTAGAAAATGAATGTGGCAAAAACACAAATACTAAGATGCACAAGTGGATAAAAGTAAAAAGGATAGGTTTAGGAATGAAGTTATCTGTAAGAACCTAGGAGTAGCTCCAATAGGTGATAAAATGAGAGAGAATAGACTAAGATGGTTTGGGCGCATGCATAGAAGACCACCAATTGCAAAAGTTAGAAGAAGTGATTTGTACACATTGAAGGGGCTAGAAGAGCACTTGGTAAACCAAAAAGGACATGGATAGAAGTAGTAAGAAATGATTTAAGCACTAATAATTTCACAGTGGATATTGCTTTAAATAGAACCGATTTAAAAAATAGGATTTATGTAGCCGACCCCATATATTTGGGATAAGGCATGGATGTTGATAATGATGATGGGGACCCCCCAATGGCTATATTTGAAGCAGGTCCACGCAGCCCATAGCAAGCCGACTTCGTGTTGTGCCAGTGGGTCATGTAGTGTTGGGCCGCCAACTATGCTAGCATGGCCCACTTTCTCATATTGTGCCGTGCTGGCCCATGGGCCTCAAAACCCAAGCTTGACCTATGGTCGGCCCAACACAACACAAGACCGTCCGAGCTCATACCACAAGTCATTCCGAGCTTGACCTTTAAGGGGTTACGAGCCAGGCAGGCATGGCCCACACAAGCCCCTGTGTTGGCATGACACGGCCAACTACAAGTGCGGGCGGCCTGCAAAACCGTGTTGTGCCAACACGGCACAAGCCACATTACAACAAGTTAGTGAACACAAAACAGCACAGGCCCTTGGATTCATAGTCCTGCAATAAGAGAGGTTAAAAAGGGAGGCAATTAGGAGTAAACATTTGAAGGGACACTTAGATCAGTCAATAGTATTGTTGATGATTTGGAAAGACAAGGAGCAAGGATGAACCTCTCATATTTTGAGGGGAGCATAAATTTCCAAGAGGAAGTTCATAATTTGAAAGTAAAAATGCAGATGCAGTGGCGTGGATAACAGAAGCTAACCCACATAGGATGTTTTGGCACAGGTTTGTATGTGTTCATATCATTCTTTCTCATAAATATTAGTAACTTATTTGTGTACTGATCAAAGAAAGTACGAAAGGAACTAGAGAGAAGCATTCCAGATGTTAAATTTGATCCCCTAAATCTCTTCAGTGGGAAAATTAGTAAAAATTTCAGTTTTCCATTCAAGCAAACACAACAAATCAAAGTTGCTTCCATAGTCTAAATAATAGGTGAACTTTAGATTTTGCATATAGAAGTAGAATCTCTCTAAAGAAACTAACACTAACAAACCTGTCATGGAGAGCAAACAAAATTCCATCAGAAGAACGAGAAATATCAATCTCAATACAATCAACTTGAGAAAGAAGAGCAATACGATATGCAGCCATCTGCAAAGAAAAAGAGAAAGCTTGATCATCTCAGCATTACATGTATTCACGGTCTTAGTTATTTCGAAGTCAAATTATTATTTTCCATTTCATTCATTGGTAATGATGGCAGTGAATATCTGCCATTTCCAATCTAGAGTCATTATGTACTGAGATATATGAAAAGGCTTTTATACCCAGATTAGTTCAGCTTTTCTCTTCCTTGATCTAATCTTTTCTGGTTTCTGTTATGTTTGGATTCTTGAAGCAATTTAGATTTTAGATTACTCTTGAACAAGAAAACCAAGGTGGTATTCAAGCAAGAAAATAAAGACAGTTATGATGATGACCTTGATAATTATTGGAGTGTTCAAACCATAACTTTATGAAGAAAGAGGGTACTTTGGGAAGTGAAGCTATAATCAAACATTTATGTAATATCTGTCCCATTGGCTTCTTAGTAAATTAGATATTTCTAGTGTATAAATAACCATCGTTTTCATCTGAGAGAGAGAGAGATTTCTTGTGGTTTAAAACCCTAGTTTTCTTTCTCTCTTCCATCCTTTCACTTTTCTCTCCTCTCTTCTCTCATATCGCTCACAACATGGTAGCAAAGCAGGTAGACTCTGATAAGAATGATGAAGATGGCAACAATGATTATTCCATATCTATCAGTTGAGTTCAGATATGTTTGTTGAGTTTTTTGCGTTTTGATCATCCATTTTTCCTTTCCAGCTATAGTTCATCTCATCTGGTGTCTACTTGTTTTTGACTTTTCTACTATAGTTCAAATATGTTTGCTCTTCTTATCTTGTTAGGATAAACTACAATTCATCCCCCTATTTTTTGTAATCAATTTGTGTTAGGAAAAACTAATTTCTATAGTTCACAACCTGTTTTTGTTCCTATTTCCTAATCCAATCTATATTGTTGGATGAATCCCTTCCTTATTTGAGTCTAGTTTTAATAGTTCTTATCTTGTTAGGATAAACTACAATTCATCCCCCTATTTTTTGTAATCAATTTGTGCTAGGAAAAACTAATTTCTATAGTTCACAACCTGTTTTTGTTCCTATTTCCTAATCCAATCTATATTGTTGGATGAATCCCTTCCTTATTTGAGTCTAGTTTTAATAGTTCAAATCATCTCCTTTAACTACACTAGTTTGAGCTTGCCTTACATAGCCAGTTCCAAGCCAGGATAAGGAGGGTTTCATATGCCAAACTCTCATGTTCATGGATCCTCATAATTTGTCTCTTTGTGCTCATGCTAGGGCATTATGACTTAACAATATATATGGCAATGAACAGAACAGAATGGTGAAACATGATTCATGTAACCTACCCCATATAGTTGGGACCAATGTTTTAAAACATTGAGGCATGAAGTGAGGCATTCCACTACCTGGAGGTGTAAGGCATAGTAAAGAACTAAGAGGTGTAAGCCTCTTTTTGAGCCCCCTTAATAGGAGGGGGATAAGGAGGAAGAAGAGAAAGAAAGAAGGAACTCATTTTCTATATTTTTAGTAAAATATATTAAGAAGAATGAAGATGCATAAAACTAACTGAAAGGAGGGATCTTGTTGCCCCCCAGCCAAGGGGGTCCTGCCCTGGCCCAAACTTTCTTTCCCCTTCTCTTTCCTTCCCTTCACTTCCCTTTCCTTTAATTTCTTTTTTCTTTTTTTCTTCTCTTTCTTTCTTTCTCGTTTTCCCTTACCCTTATTTTCCTTTCCCTTCCTTTCTATTCTTTTTTCTTTCATTTTTTCTTTTTGCTGCCTTTTTATATGAGGTGTGCGTGAAGTGCATGAAGCCAAAAAGGGTGTATGAGGCATACACCTCAGAAGTATCAACACCTCTGGCATATGCCTCAGAGCATTTTGGGGGCGCCACACGCCACCATGTCGCGAGGCTAGTCATTGGGACCCCGTGCGGCACTCGAATGCGACGAATAAGCCTAAGCAACAAGCAACAACACAAGAAAAGGCAACAAAGATGGCACACGAATTAGAAAAAGACTACTTGTATTGCATTAATGGATGGCAAGCATAAGCACACAGTTCAGAAGTTAGGATTAATTCATCAGAAGTTCCTTTACCTGTCCCATTGCATGAAGAGGGATGTAATGGGGAGGATTGTCAGAGGTTCCGGGATTTGAGAGACTAGCACAGACGGTGGAGGCAAGTTGATTTTGGTCATCAATAGTCTAGGCCAGCCCCAATTCCTTCTGTGGATCCAGATCCAGGCACCACAGTTCCTTTATTAGATATTACAGATGAGATACCTTCCACTGTTGAACCCTAACCTCCATTGGATGACCATGACCTCCCCATTGCAGTCCGTAAAGGCAAACGCCATTGCACCACATCCACAACCTACTACATTTCCCAGTTCTTGTCCTATGATCATCTATCCCCCTCTTACAAGTCCTTTCTTGCATCCATTGCTAATATTCCCATTCCCAGAATGGTGTAGGAAGCCTTGCTAGTTCCTGAGTGGAAGGATGCAATGAAGGTAGAAATGGATGCCCTTATGAGAAACAATACTTAAGAGATATTTGATCAGCCCAAAGGGAAGAAACCAGTTGGATGTAGATGGGTGTTTACTATGAAACATAATGCTAATGATTCCATTGAAAGGTATAAGGCCCGATTAGTTGCAAACACCTTGTTTATTAAGAAAGTGGATTCTTCCTTAACCTTGCTTGCTGTATATATAGATGATATTGTAGTGACAGGGAGTGATAACAGTGAGATTGAGTCTCTTAAACAACTCCTTCATCAAGAATTTGAGGTAAAAGATCTAGGAGAGTTACGATACTTCTTGGGTATTGAGGTAGCTAGGTCCAAGCATGGGATTTTTGTTTCTCAAAGAAAGTATGTTCTTGACTTGTTGGAATAAACTGGAAAGTTGGGTGTTAAGCCTGTTGACACACCTATTGAACAGAAACACAAAATCAGTGCAGAGGATGGAGAGCCTCTTGAAGATAAAGCTATATTCCAAGGGTTAGTTGGAAAACTCCTCTATCTTTGTCCCACATGCGAACATCAGTTATGCAGTCAGTGTTGTTAGTCAGTAATATGCACCCTCCTAGAACTATTCACCTACTTGCAGTTGAGAAGATATTGGCATATTTGAAGAGGTGCCCAGGCAGAAGTGTTTTATTCAAGAATAATGATCACATGAAGATAGAAGTTTACATAGATGTTGATTAGGCTAGGTGTGTTGATGACAGAAGATTTATCTCTGGATATTGTGCTTTTGTAGGAGGTAATCTTGTCTCTTGGAGGAGTAAGAAACAAAATGTTGTTTCTTGTTCCAGTGCTGAAGCTGAATATAGGTCCATGGCAAATAGTGTAGCTGAAATTCTATGGTTGAAATCACTATTTCAGGAGTTGGGTATTGCTTATGAGAAGCCCTAAATGTTGTACTGTGATAATTAGGCTGCTATTAATATAGCTCATAATCCAGTACAACACGACAAAACTAAGCACATTGAAGTGGACCGACATTTTATCAGAGAAAGGGTTGCATCTCAAGAAATATGTCTTCCGTATATCACCTCCGACATGAAGCTTGCAGATCTTCTCACCAAGGTTGTTTCTAGGAAGAAGTTAGAGGCAGACCTATGCAAGTTGGGAATGACAAATATCTATTCCCAACTTGAGGGGGAGTGTAGAGAACACTGATGTGGTCCCCACTATGTTCATATGGCAGTAGTAGACAGTTAGTTATGTTAGTTATTTCAATTTGTTAGTTGGTAGTTTATTTCAGCCTTATGTTATTAGTTTTTCTTTTACTATTTTGCCATGTAAGTGTTAGTGTAGGGGTATTTATGTCTTTATACCAAGATTAATGTTGTTGATCTGTAATGTTGTGTTAGAACCAGTGCTCCTTACTTAAACAAGGGCACATATGTCTTTTCAATTATTTTTAATAATAAAAGTACTGCCTGGCCGACTGGGAGTCATGTTCTTTTGACTACCAGTTCGAACCAGCTTTTCTCCTTTCTCTCTTTCTCTCTTTCTTCCACCTTTCTACCTCTTTCTACATAACCGATCTCAGACAAATAGAASTCCAAGGCAGGCCGAATCATAACATGGTATCAGAGCAACTTGAATCTGCCAAGTTTTCTGTCAGCCTAGATTTCTATTCTCTGCGCACCCTATCTAGGGTTTCTCTTGATTTTCCTGCATTCGACCGGAGATAAGGGAAAGGGCTGAAAAGGAGTGATCGCCCTCTTCCCTTGGAGGTTTCTATGCCTCCAGTCAGGTCTTGTGTGATCGGTTGCTATGGTTTCTAAGATCGCCCTCCCCTAATCGATGAAGAATAGTGGGCCGATCTGTGTGGTGCAGTGGCTGTCTCGTGTGGACTGGTTTCTTGCTCGTGTGGTTGTTCCTTCAGTGATAAGGCAAGAGATTTCTGTGCATGATATCTGTTATGGTTCAAATAGGAAGTGTGTTTCAGATCATATGCTAGGGTTTTAGACAGTAGTGTGCTAGGGTTTATGCTGGTTTTTGTGTATTCCGAAGGAAGAGTTGTGATCATATAGTGGTGAGATTTCAGGTAGCCGTAGGAGTAGGGTTTGTGGTGTAAAGAGCACACTTTTCAGCAACAACAAG